GAATGCTAGAATAGGTGAATGTACTTTTGCTTCATTTGGTCTTCACGTTCCCACGTGAATTCTGGCCCATGCTTCGCGTTCCAACGTACTTTCACGATCAGGATGCGACTTTGCTTAGTACGCTTCACCTCCCTGTCCATGATTTCAACTGGTTCCTCAATGAATAGGAGATTCTCGGTGATCTCAATCTCATCAAGGGGAATGACGAGTGTTTCATCTGATAGGCACTTCTTAAGATTGGAGACGTGGAACACGGGGTGTACGCTATTTAGCTCTGCGGGTAGCTGCGGTTTGTACGCTACTGGACTTATTCGGGCAACGATTTCGAAAGGTCCAATGTATCGTGGGTTCAGTTTTCCCCGTTTTCCGAAACGAATGACTCCTTTCCAAGGTGAAACTTTTAACAACACTCGATCTCGAACCTGAAACTCTAAGGGCTTTCGCCGTTTATCGGCGTAGCTCTTCTGTCGGTCGCGCGATGCTTGTAGTCGGGCTCTGATTTGAACTATCTTTTCCGTGGTTTCACGAATGATCTCCTGTCCTGTTAACACCTTTTCCGATGCGAGTGCTTTTGCTAGCTGGGTGTCACCCACCTCAGCCCAACATAACGGTGATCTACACTTACGTCCATATAGTGCTTCGAAAGGAGCGACTTTGATGCTCGAATGGTAACTGTTGTTATAAGAGAACTCCACTAAGGGCAAGTGGGTATCCCAAGACTTCCCAAAGTCTATCACACATGGGCGAAGCATGTCTTCGAGCGTCTGGATGGTTCATTCGCTTTGACCGTGAGTTTGTGGGTGATAAGCGGTGCTCATGTCGAGATGGGTTCCAAGTGCTTTCTGAAGTGATTGCCAAAATCGTGAAGTGAACCTACTATCTCTATCCAAGATAATAGACAATGGTACTCCATGGAGTCTCATGATTTCTCGAATGTATAATCGTGTCAGTTTCTCCATCTTGTAGGATTCTTTTATTGGCAGGAAATGAGCGGATTTCGTCAGTCGGTCAACTACTACCCATATGGTGTCTAGTCCATCTGACGTCTTGGGTAATTTGGTCACAAAATCCATAGAAATTCCTTCCCATTTCCACTCGGGAAACACCGGTTGCTGCAATAACCCCGAGGGCTTCTGGTACTCCACCTTTACCTTGGCACAAGTAAGGCATTTACTGAGATAGGTGGCAATCTCTGCCTTCATGTTAGGCCACCAGTACTGTTGTTTGATATCCAAGTACATCTTGTCCGAACCGGGATGGATGGAGTAACGCGTTTTGTGAGCTTCATTCATGACTACCTCCCTAAAACCTCCGAGTTTAGGGACCCAAACACGGTTCATGAAGTAGTATACTCCTTCCTCTTTTACTTCTAGATTCTTCTCAATTCCGCATAATGCTTCGTTGGCTCTGTTTTTAGTCTTCATGGCATCTGACTGGGCTACCCCGATCTGAGTGGTTAGGTGAGATTGGATGGTTATTGAAAGAGTTTTCGCATGATGATTAGAGTACTCCTTCCGGCTCAATCCATCAGCTACCACGTTGGCCTTGCCCGGGTGGTACTTGATTTCACACTCGTAATCATTTAATAATTCAACCCATGTTCGTTGCCTCATATTCAGCTCTTTCTGGTTCAAGATATGCTGGAGACTTTTGTGGTCCGTGAAGATGGTGCACCTCGTACCATAAAGGTAATGCCTCCAAATCTTCAGAGCAAAGACCACTGCTCCCAACTCCAGATCATGGGTTGTATAATTCACTTCGTGTGTCTTTAGTTGGCAGGATGCGTAAGCTATCACTGTTCCACGCTGCATGAGGAAGCAACCTAAGCCCTGATTTGACGCATCACAGAAGACCATGAAATCTTCCGTTCCTTCTGGTAGAGATAGTACCGGGGCACTACAGAGGGCTTGCTTCAGGGTTCAAAATGCAATTTCTTGTTTGTCTGTCCATTTGAATGGCACGCTCTTTTGTGTGAGTGAGGTAAGTGGCTTGGCGATCTTAGAGAAATTTTGAATGAATCTCCTGTAGTAGCCTGCTTGTCCTAAGAATTGGCGGATTTCTGTGGGAGTTGTCGGGACTATCCATCCTTCGACGGCTTTGACCTTAGAAGGATCCACATTAATTCCTTCCCGACTAACAACATAACCTAAGAAGTTCACACTACGGAGCCAGAAGTCACACTTAGAAAGTTTTGCGTAGAGCTTTTCCGTTCACAGGGTTTCTAGGATTTGTCGGAGATGTCGGCCATGCTCTTCTTTGCTTCGAGAATAGACGAGAATATCGTCGATGAAGACGATGACAAAGTTGTCGAGGAATGGTCGACAGATTCAGTTCATTAGGTCCATAAATGCGGCAGGGGCATTTTTTTGACCGAAGGGCATTACGAAAAATTCATATTGTCCATAAGGAGTTCGGAAAGCTGTTTTGCGAATATCTTCTTCTCGGACCTTAAGCTGACGGTATCCGGACCGTAGATCGATCTTAGAAAAGTAACTAGCCCCTTGGAGCTGGTCAAATAGATCGTCGATTCGTGGGAGTGGGTAGCGATTCTTGACAGTGAGTTTGTTTAGATCCCTCTAATCGATACACATCCTAAAAGATCTGTCCTTCTTTTTGACAAAGAGTACCGGAGCTCCCCATGGCGAGTAACTAGGTCGGATGAATCCCTTGTCCAGGAGTTCGCTGAGTTGACTGGACAATTCCTCCATTTCAGCAGGAGCTAGCTGGTAGGGCGATTTAGCGAGAGGGGTTGCTCCTGGAACGAGGTCAATTCGGAACTCAACTTGTCTCTCTGGGGGTACTCCAGGAAGATCTTCAGGAAATACGTCTGGGAATTCACATGCTACTGGAATGTCTTGAATGTTAGTCTCTTCCTTGGTTTTATCCACGATGTGAGCCAGAAATGTCAATTCTTTCTTTTGTAGATGTTTTTGTGCCTGGACGCACAAGATAATGCGAAGGTTCGTGCTAGGTTTGTCTTCGTAAATAACTAGGGTTTTGTGATTGGGAAGATGAAGGCGAACGACCTTCTCGTGACACATAATTTCAGCATGGTGGGGGCTTAACCAGTCCATGCCAATAATCACATCGAAACTCCTAATGGAAACAGGCATCAGGTCTATTTGAAAGATGAGTTGATTTAGAGTTAGGGTACATCCGATGTATATTTCCCCGGTGGATTCAGTTTTCCCATTGGCCATTTCCACCGTAAAGGTTTCATTGAGCTTCTGGGCTTGTTGTTTTAACAAATGTTTAAACTTATTGCTCACAAAACTTCGCTCGGCTCCGGTGTCAAATAGGATGCATGCATAAGTGTGGTTTAGGGGAAACGTACCGGTAACAACAACGGGATGCTTAATTGCCTCTCCCTGGCCCATGGCCAACACTCTTCCGGTTCCTCCATTTCCGGGATTGTTGTTGTTAGGGAAATCACAATGAAAATGCCCAGTCCTTCCACACCCATAGCATGTGTGGCTAGGCCCGGCGTTGTTGCCGCCAGCATTGGTGTTGTTGTTGTTGCGGTTGTTGTTGTTGTTGCTTCCCTACTGTTGATTTTGAGGGGGTAAGTCCTGCAGTACCTTGCCGTGTGTCCCTTCCGATTGCAACCGGTGCACTGTAGCTCCTTGCATTCTCCATTATGATGGAAACCACATTTGTTACACTTGGGAAGATTACCGGAATAAGGTCTAGGGGCATTTGGAGCAGCTGAGGATGGAGCATGTGGTGTAGCTGGAACTTGCGCGGTGGCAGCATTAACTGCCACCGTCTGCTGCTTCTTGGAAGTCTCAGAGCCTTGACGCCCCTTTCTTTTGTTGCTCTTCCCCTTCTTGCCATCACTTTCCTTCTTGGTCTCAGTCTCTGCTGGCCTCTCACCTTTCTTGTTGTTGTGGTCATACAGCTTCTTCGCCAATCTCTTGGCACTGTCGAAAGTTTCAGGGTTTGCAGCTATCACGTTTCCTTGGATCGGAGAGGTTAGTTCCCAGACGAATCGTTCGATCTTCTTTCCTTCCGAAGTGATCATGACCGGACATAACAGAGATAGTTCACTAAATCTTGATATGTAGGCATCGATATTAGCATTCCGTACAGTGAGGTTCCACAACTCTTGCTCCATTTTCTGAATCTCACCACGAGGGCAGTATTCAGCCATCATCATTTCTTTCATTTCTACCCATGGCATGGAGTTGGCTACAAGGAGTGTCATGGCTTCCACGTGTCCGTTCCACCAAGTAAGCGTGAGGTCAACAAAAGTGCATGCTGCAAACTTCACCTTCATCTCCTCAGGACAATCACATATCTCAAATACCGATTCCACCTTCTCGATCCATCGTTTCAGAGTGATCACCCCTCCAGTGTCGTTGAAGGTTCGTGGTTTGGCGTTTGTGAAGTCCTTGTAGGTACATGTTTTGGTGGGTCCTTGATTCGTTCCGTTGTTCAAACTCCCGGCCCCTTGCCCGTTGACTCCTCCATTGTTTCCTTGATGAATTTGTGCCATTGCTGCGGTGACCGCAGTAGATACCGCTGCATAGAATGCAGCTGAGTCAACTTCGGGTGGGGTTGGTCTCGGGTTTCCGCTAGTAGGTCGGGGAGGCATCTTTTGGTCACGAAACGGAAAGATGTTGAGTGTATGCGGGTTCCGTGAGATTATGATCCTACTGACTAGGTGCATGGTACGAACTTGAGTACTTCTACTATTTAGCATACAATCATAGATTTGCAACACATAGCAATTTGTAATGTCATAATAAAACACATAAAAGTTTTACTAATATTATCCACATTTGATACATGAAATTTTTTCTCATGAGAGCATACATGAGTGATACTAGTTCGACAGCATAACGGCTCTATCAGTAGTGTAGTCACTTAAACATAGAGTCGGGGTACGTAACATAGATCCTAGTACTAGTACTAAAGACGAGTATAACTAGTCTCTCGTACGGTGGGACCTATCTAGAAGGTAGTAGTGTAGGTCCCATTATTAAGGATGATGACGACACTCAATCATCGAGGTGACGCACCAGAAGTTCAGCCAGTTCATCAGCCTCTTGGGTGATTGCCTCTACTTTTCGCTTGGCTCGTACAACCCTCGCCTTGGTCATGATGAGTTGAAGCTTCAGGCTGATGATTGTCTCCTCGAGGGCGCGTAAGTAGTCTGTATCCACCCCTTGAAACATGCGGAAATTTGACGGGGCTTCCAACTGGTGAGGTTCACTACACGCCTCTTCTACAGACTTTTCTTCATCTGGCTCCTGGTCTAACTCATCATAATCGAGATCAACCATCACATATTTGTCCTGTTCCTCTTCTGGTTCGGCAGGCTCACCCTCGACTTCTTCCTCCGGTTCCCCGTTAGATTCCTCTTCGGGGTCTTCCTCAGGCTCCTCGTCTAACCATTCGTTATTTCCCTGGTTAGGGAAGTAAGGATCTCCGGGGTGATGGAAACCAGCCATGCTGTCTGCGAGAGTGTGTAAATATGCTAACATTATTACTAGGATGCTACAACTATTGTATAAACTAATCAGGCGTTCTCTTTTTAGCGGCTAAAGGGGTATGTTTTTAGGTTCCCTAGCTATCACGATTTCTTGAAGACATGTGATGGTTGTATCTTGGAGGGAATGTAGTTGATTAGGCTACATCCGCTCCTTGATACCACTAAGAATCGTCCTGAATTAACCTGGATACTAGCATCATCTTGTTTGGTTCGGCGTTATGTTCTTATTCCTAATGCAAGCAAGGGTGTTTTATTGTTATGTTTTACTTGTTTTGTTCAAACTTGTGTTAGTCCCTCTTTTGGTTTATAGTTGCATATCAATGTGTGGTTAGATATGCTGGTTCACTATAAACAGAGCTCTGATACCAACCTGTCACACCCCCGAACCAGATGGCGGAAACGTCCGAGGGCTATTGTGACTTAATTGAATACCATCACAATGAATATACATGAATCATAACATCATTCATCACCATGCATTGAAATATTACAACCATCAGTGTTTACATTCAGTACATTGTTTTAAAACATTACATTTCCAAAACATAAACCGTTCGACATTAATTAAACAAAACATCATGATATCACTGGATATGTTTTCTTCGATTTACCTATTACCTGAGAATACAAGTATTTTGGAAAATCGTCAACATATGAAATGTTGGTGAGTTCATAAGTAATGTTTGAAAAATAATGAGTTGTGTTATTTTGAAAACCCCCAGAAAATCCGATATTTTTTGAAAAGATTACTGTAAGTAAGAAAAAGTGTGAAGATCCGTAAGTATGCTTGTTGATTTCTGTAAGTGTGAATAATTGTTCGACTTTGTATGCATCACATAGGTGAAAGTGTTGATACATCAATTTACGTGGCATAGTTAGTATTACTCTGTTACGACGTTGTATTCTATAGTTCCAGGTGACATGGGATTGATTATGGGTTGTGAGTCGTTATAAGCATGCATTAATGAAAATGACTAGTTTACAACTTTACAAATGATCCCTTATGTGTCGTCCGTACTACTCACTTAATCCAACCACCCTAACTTCTCATAGCCCCACGACCGAGGAGAAAAGAGGGTGCGAAGCCCCCGTTAATTCCAGAAGTCGTTCAAGGCTATCGTGAATGCGAACGACACTTGGTCCGACTCGCATTTGGCTTCTTGACTTTGCTAGCGGTACCAAAGGATCCTTGGGGACCTACAACACACTAAGGCTATTGAAAGTCCTTTTACAAGGAATTAGGTCATGTAAGACCCAATAACATGTAAGCATGTTCCCTTCGGGCCTAAAGATCATGTCATTGGACTAGCTAGGCCCAACAAGCACGATTTGAAACTTTTGAGCCCAAAGAATGTGTATTGACTTCTTGCATATTACCGTGTGTATATTGTAGTACCGTTGTATATTGATTTTTGATTCGTTCTTGATTCGAGACCGAATCGACTCTTTTGGTAACGATTTTGGTGTTGAAAGTGTATTTATTATCACATTTTTCCGGTAGACGTAGTACTCGTACTTTTGTTTTAAGGGGTCTATTGTTTTGAGAATGTGAGTTTATCTTCTTAAGCCCTTTCTCGGATAAAATTTACACATTTAACCCTTTGTGTATAAAAGAATTTCCGGTTTAGTCTGTAAACTATTTTTCTTGACACTTTAGTATCAATACTTATTGGAAAGACATTTTTAGTACAAATTTTACTTGAAAAACAGTTAAGTCCCTAGAAATGAAATTTTCTCGGTTGAGACCCCCATTTTCGCAGTTTTTACAATTTTGGCCCAAAATGGAAAAATTTTACATTTTTAGTCCCTTATTAATTTGAAAACATTTTTTGACCCTTGAAGTAGTTTTATTACACTAGTAATCCCCTATTTTTCATAAATGTGCAGTTTCAGCCCCTCTATTTCCAAATTTTCGCAATTTGGGGCTTATTGGGCTGAAAAGCCCAATTTTAGCCCATTATGTTTAAAACTTACATTTTAGGCCCCTCCAAAGTGGTTTTATTCAGAAAAATTATAATAAAGACTGTTTGGACTTGTTTCAACCTCCATAAATTATGTTTAGTCGTTTTGGGCCCCTTAGTTTTGTATATTTGACATTTTGGGCCCAAAAATGGGTTTTGTCTCCAAAAATGTTCATTCTAACTAAATAACTCATTTTTATTGACTTGATTAGTGTAGAATGGTATAAGCTATGTTTATTTCATTCTTCATGTTGTATATCTCGGTTTTTAGGTATTATTAGCTAGTATAATCATCACATAACACATAAAAACCATACATACATGCATAAAATCACACAAGACATACATGAAACTAACAGATCTTGCACATTTGCTTGTATTCTGCCCCACAAAAACATATAAAATAGAAAAATAGGGGTATGAAGCTCACCTTTGGGTGTGGTTTCGGTTTGAGGAAGAAAAGAGAAGAGATTGTTGCTATTTTCGGCCCTAGCAACCTTTCTTGGAAGATCTTCAAATTTAGGGGGTTCTAAGATGTAAGATCATGATTCCACATGAGTTAAAAAGAGATTTTTGATAGAACAAGGAGTCTAGAGTGTGGATCCAAGCATCAACTTACCTAAGATGATGATTTTTGTGAAGAATCCTCCTTGCAAAGCCCTTAAATCTCGAAATTTTTGAAGGAAGGTTAAAGGATTTGTGGGGTGTTCTTGAGAGTGATTAAGTGAATGATTATGAGTGTGTGTGTGTGCTACTCTCGGCCGAGAGTAATAGAAGAAGAGAGAGAGAGAGAGAGAAGTGAAAGGTTATGCATGGATACATGTGATATATGCTTGGTTATCCCATAGGTATTAAGGAGGTGGCTAATCTTCCTTAATTCTCCATTTCTTCTTTTTTTTTTTCCTTCTTCTTGGGTTGAGAGATAGAGGGGAGAGATGGAGACTTAAGCCTTTGGTGCTTAAATCCAATTCATGGGCCCATGTTGATTGTTTTTCGGCCCATTAGACTTCTAGGGTGCCTCATGGCCCAATTTGGTTCATTTAAATGATTTATTTCATTCTAGGGCCAATATGGCCCAAAATGGTAAAATGAATGAAAGTGGGTCCAATTAGAGCCCATTTAAGAGTTCTAAGCCCAAGATGGTCAAATTGGAAGCTTATTGGTCCATTGGGCCCAATAAGGAAGTCCTAGTCCAAAATGGACTTAAAAAAGGACTTCTAGGGTTTGCAATTGCTTGTTGACTGTTTGTAGTGCTTGTATGATGTGTTTGATTGAAATTTTATTGTCATAGAGTATGCATCATACATGCTCTTGAGTCTTTGATTCATACTTTGGCTTAATTGTTGTAGTTACAAGGCACAAAATTCCTGATTGTGACACTAATAGAACTGACGCTAACAACAGCGAAGTATAATATTGTTATCTGAATAGAGCCGGTATTAGGAATTGAGCATTACAGTCCTACCGAGAGGTAATATAAGGCTTGCGAAAGAGACTTAAGTTTAATTAAGTTGGATAATAGACATCATATCCTTAAGAGTGCATGAGAGACATGAACGAAGAGTAGAATTCTGACATTCGTAGTCTGAGAGTATGGATTAGGCATAACCATTCATCCCTGGACTAGGCATAATCATTCTTTTCTGGTCCGAGAGTATAGACTAGGTATAATCATTTGGCACTGATATGAGAGTATAGATTAGACATAGACATTTATTCTGATCTGAGAGTATGGATTCGATATAGTTATTCGTCCTTAGTCCGAGAGTATGGGTTAGGCATAGTCATTTGTCACCAATCCACAAGAATGGATTAGACATTAACATTCATTCCTGATCTAAGAGTATGGATTAGGAAATGCCATTCATTTTAAAGTCCGAGAGTATGAATTATGTCGTTATATAGGATTAAAGTGTGAGAAGCAATGAAATGGGGGTAGATTGCTTATGCGAGGTGTATTAGTATGTTCAAGTTTTAAGATATATATATATATATATATATGTGTGTGTGTGTGTGTGTGTGTGTGTGTCTGTGTGTTATTACATTGTAGGATTGAAATCCCTATGTACTCACTAGGTTTCCCAATCTGACCCACTCAACTTCTTTGTATCATAGGTAGCGGTTCAAAGATAGGTGCACAATGATAGATTAAAAAAGATGTAGTATTAGTTATGACATCCTATGATTTTTATAATTTATTGAAAAACATTTATTTGGAAATACGTTGATGGGACAAATTCCACATTTATAAATAAACTCTATTTTAAATAAGCATAAATAAAAAGTTTTGAAATAGTCGTTGTTACGATATGAGCTTGGGGCACCGGGTCTTCGGTGTTGGATCCGGATTGGAGATCTTGAAGTAGTGTCGTTAGCGAGTTCCTAGCAAGATACCTAGTTGTGTCGTTAAAGGTACCTCTGGGAATATGCGCTGGTAGCAAGCTCCAAGGATCAAGTTAAATCAATTCGTAGATATGAGATGATTTTTCCTAGTCGGAGATAACAATTTTGGTGTGTTGGGTGTGTGTTTGGTCATGGAGGTTGATATCGTAAGGTGGGAGATGCTTGATGGTGAAAAGGGGTCCCCTTCCATGAAGGAGGTTATCATCTATTTATAGGGAATAATTCAGTCAAGGGAGAGTTAGGTCAGGTCTTAGGATAGCCCAACTCAAGCCCAGCTAGCAAGGATCTGTGAAAGACCGCTTGCACGCTAGGAGAGTGCCAGGGGTGGGTGCCAGACAAGCCTTGCAGGCGAGTGCTAGGAGAGCTCTAAGCAACGCTGGCACATGGGAGCCATCTGGGCTAGGCTAATGGACTCGACGCCAATAAGTTCCCCCAGTCTGATGTTATTGGTAAGCGGCCATTGACACCGGACTAAACACAATCATACAAACCGTACGTCATGAAGTCCCCCTAGTCCGATGTGTTTGGATTATGACCTATTGAGTCGAACTAGGCAAAGCGACAATGCATCAATTAAATAAAAGGAAAGACCGAA